TCCAATTTTGCTATGGAGCTATCCGATAGCTCGGTTTATGGAGTCATTCACAGTTATTCACAAATAGTGTATTGACACGTGTCCTACAATAAATGCATTTTAGACAAATGTCAATACACTAAGTCATGGATGACTCCATAAGAAAACCATCCGATGGTTCCATAAAATTTTTGTAGTGTTGTCAAACAATCTTTAGAATTGCAATTTTAGTCCCGTTAGTTTGATTTAGTGGCATTTTTAGTCTTAAAAATTGAACATTTTTGCTATTTGATCTTATGATTCTAAAATTCAACTATTTTCGTCATATGGGACAGAAAATGCAACAAAATTAAAATTACAGGACTCAAATTGCTAATAATAAATCTTTCATTACATGACTTAAAATGCTAATAAAAAAATCCTGTAATTTTAAATTTTGTTGCATTTTCCTTCCCAAATGACTGAAATTTCAGCAAAATACTAAATTACATGATCAAAAGATTAAAAGTTAGAATCTTGAGACTAAAAATGCTACGGCGTTAAACCAGTCGGACTGAAAATGCAATTTTGACTATGAAAAATAATAATATAAAAAATTAATATATATTAAATTTAATATTTCATAATTAATTATAATTTTATATATATAAAAAAAATATGCACCATCAGTCAACTTAATAGCAAAATTTGTGTAATTTGATATATAGGTGTGGAGGGTGGTTAGAATTCATAATCTTGTTTCCTTTATAATGCTTTTGCTTAAAAGTAATTAGAGCAATTTATGGTTTGAGATTATAGAGATTATTATTCACCCAAATAAAGAAATTTTATTCTCCTGCAAATCCAATTGTCATTATGTATTTTCATAACCAGCAATAATGGTATTATTGGACAAGTCTAACGGACAGACGATCATAAATATGTATAATTTGTAATTAAAATGTTAAAATTGTAATATATTCATAATATGCATTTTTTATTCAAAAAAATATGACAATTAAATTACTTACATACAAGTGTTTGTGTTTTTTGTAATTTATTTACCTATGAAAAATTGATATAATAATGTAACCTGGTTATGTAAATTGCATGTATGAATTTGTGAATTTATGAAATATTTATTGTTTGAAACACGAGGATTCGTTCGAAAAAAAAAAAAAAAAGACACACGAGGATTCTATAAGGTAGTGCGTGTGGTCTCAAATTTTGTCCAAGTAAAATAGATACAAGCAAAAACGAGAATTCATGCAGATTTGGCACATGGAATCGTAGCGCCTTATCTCGATAATGTTTAGAGAAGATGTTACGGTTCCTTTACAGAACCATTCCATCGAGATTTATAACTGTTAAATTCAGGGCGGATGCATATGTGTTTGATCTCCCCAAATTTTTTTTTTAATTAGTAGTAGTATGTATGTATAATATATAATATTATGTAAATTTAAGCACTTTGCTTGCCTTAAAATACATATTAATGTAAATAAATCTCACTTCTTTGAGAGTTTCCCACATATGCATACCTCTTTCTTTCTTTTTTTTTTAATAAGTTATAGAGTATAATATACTAAGTAAATAAAGTA